CTGCTACTTATAAGGAAGACGTGAAACTGCCCTGCCTCGCCGTCGGTGTGCCCTCGCCTAATATCATCTGGAAGGTAATTATAATAAACTAGCTGTTCTAATAACTAGTTGTTAAAACAACATTTGTATGCTTTCCAATTGCAAAGGTTAAAATTATAACGTACAACAAAGGCTCTTGTCATTGGATGAGAATTACCGTTAACATGGCAATCTTCTTTCCTGCTATTGGCTTGTAGTTTTAGTTCCTTTTGCATTGCTTTTTTTTTTCAATCTTATGACTCCCTAAATAAAATAGCGTTAAAATGTAGAGCATAAAGCATGTCGTAAGTGTATGGCTTTTTATTAAAGAAATAATTATTCAAAAATATGCTGTGATTGCTGACATCCTTTGCCACGAAGTAGTATGTTTACGCTTTATTATATTAGTAGAGATTGGTTGTTGTGTGATGTTCTCATTGTGTATGTGCAGGTAAAGGGCCAGCCGCTGGAGGGCTCGGAGCGCGTGCGGCAGCTGCCGGAGGGCTCGCTGCAGATCGCGGGCGTGGCGCGCGAGGACGCGGGCGAGTACTCCTGCCACGTCGACAACCAGTTCGGCACCGACACCGTCACGCACACGCTCTCCGTACTCGGTAACGGCACTACGCGCCACCTCACTCTATTCCTACTCAAATAATCTGTTGATCTTGTTACGTGGCCGACCTTACCAAGTTTATAGGTCCAATTTTGTCTTGAATCACTCAAGTACCTAATATCAAAAATAAATTAACAAGTGATTTTGTAACTAATCTTGTGCCAATAATAATTTAGTTTAGTAAATTAGCAAATCGTTGTTTCAAGTTAATCCTTTTTATACTATTTTTTCTGCAAGTAGCGATTACCACCACTCGCTGAAATACTAGAAAAGTTCGAAACTTTCGTTTTAATAGAGGTCATTAGTGTACTTGACTTGCAATGTACTACTCACTTGTGTACTATACCTTCAGAGAAGTACGACTTCTGTGCAATACAATGTTTAACCTAGTAAAGTACTCGGTTCGCTAGTTAATTACTAGATTGGTGTGACTTAGGGTATACATATTCGTGCGTACATAAGAGTGGTGTGTTGCAGCGCCGCCGTTCCCGCCGCAGCTGAGCATCGCGTCGTCGTCGGTGTCGTCGCTGACGCTGCGCCTCAAGCCCTCGCTGGAGGCGGAGCAGTCGCCCGCCGCCGGATACACCATACACTACAAACAGGAATTCGGAGACTGGGAAACTGTACAGGTACCATCACTATTCATTTAAACTATTAAAACCACCCATTGCTCGCGACTTCGTCCGCATGAAATAAAAAAATAATAATAAAAATATAACCTTTGTTACTCACTGATAACGTCGTTTTTTAATGGTGTAAGCATTTTTGAAATCAGCCCAGCAGTTTTTTCAGTTATTTTAATTTTAACACATGCAAAAATACAAACCTTTCCTATTTATTATATTAGTATAGGAGTATAGATGTCTAATCTGTACGTGATCACAATCAATTTACAGTTTTCATTGTTTTAAATTGTATTGCATAAGCAAGATTGCACTATAGATCTTTTAATGCTACATTTATTGATTTTCGAAAATGATTCTTTTCACAGATTCCAAGCAACACTGACACTTACACTTTGGAGAACCTGTTCTGCGGATCCAGATATCAGCTTTACGTGACTGCTTACAATGGGTATGTCGCCGATTCTATAACTTCTAAAATATCTGTTACTCATCGATATATCGATGGGTGCAAGGCTATTTGTCTTAAGCACTATTAGGTTAAATGTTCAGGAGAGCCATTTAAAGTTTTTATTATTAGAAAAAAGAAAACATAAAAGCAAATACTGACAATAATTTCAATTGAAAGATTTTCAGACCGATTCTAGATTAAAATATCTACAATTCTGCACACTTTATTCAATCCACTGACTATAAATAACTGCTGATTCTTGGACGCTTTATACATGTATACTTAAAACGACACCTACATTTTCATTGTTTCAAGCGCCACAAAAGTGCTTTGATCTTTATGAAACCCGGAACGCAGAAAAATTCGCTGATTCTGTATATGTATTTCGATATCTTTGTCAGTATCGGCACGGGCGAGGCGTCTGACGTGGTGATAGCGCGCACGCGGGGCTCCAAGCCGCCGGTGCCGCGCGCCGCTGACTTCATCGAGGTGGGCAGCTCCTCCGTCACGCTGCACCTCAAGCAGTGGCTGGACGGCGGCTGCCCCATGAGCCACTTCGTCGTCGAGAACAAGAAGAAGTGAGAATATAACTAATTCTAGCGTTCGATACAAAAAAATACACAAAACTCAATTTTCTAGCATCAAAATGGCAGAAATTACCTTGCATCTTAAAAGTTATAGTTTCTTTTGGAGTTTAGATAACAGTTTTCTAAATAAATTAAACGTTGTGATTTTCAGGGGAGCTGCTGAATGGAACCAAATCTCGAACGCCGTAAAGCCCGGAGGCAATTTCGTTGTACTCGGTATGTAACCAATTTTATCGCACGTACGTACTTTACATGTTTACATTGTTTAACATGTTTTTAATGAATAACATGTAATTCCAGACCTGGAACCCGCTACTTGGTATGTGCTGAGGATCACCGCACACAATAACGCCGGATTCAACGTCGCTGAATATGAATTCGCTACACTCACAATGACTGGAGGTACATTAGATTACTTTTTCTACTCTGTTGTATGATTTTATTTCACGTAGTATCCCATATCGTCGTTAAAGTTCTAACATCACAGATGTCAAGAATAGCAACTTTTCAGGAGAAAAAAAAACTGCATAATTTTGTAAAGAAATACTGATACATTGTTTGTGTATACTTTACTATAGTTATTTTTAACTAGCTGTTGCTCGAGACTTCGCCCGCGTTTAATTAAAAAATAATAAAAACATAGAGTAGTTTTTGAGTTGTTTCATACATACAAAAATCCACAAATACAAATCTTTCCTCTTTATAATAGTAGTTTAGATGTAGAATAGGTATTTTTATAGGCCTAATCGATGCGTCTTCCGATTCTCAAGCGAAAGGCATCAAAATGTCAAAATAGCCAAAAGGTGACTTACGTATTGCTAGAACTTCAACGACGTTATGTCTCTTATTTTTGTCACTGAACTAGAAATAATTTTAATCTATTATCCGATACGCGGTATTTCTCTACTATTTATTATAAGTAAAAAGTAAAAGTACCTGAAATGCAGTGCCTTTTTTTTCGTTTTGACCATAATAGTTGTAGTAATAGAGGCTTGCATTTCAGGTACGATCGCCCCCGCGCGCGACGTCAACGACGGCAACCTCACCACCGAGCAGACCATCAAGATCATCCTGTTGCACCTCAATCTGATCGTGCCGGTGGTGGCCGTCATCCTCGTCATTATCATTGCCATCGTGGTCGTGTGCGTGGTGCGCGGCGCCAGGGACCACCACAAAGGTATCACGTTCTAGGCACCATCGCCCCCCTCCCCGGCAACGCCGACAAGGATCTGCCCCCCTGGGTCAAAGCCTGGCTCGAGCCAGAAGTGTTGGTGCCCATCCTCGCCACTATTGTGGTGTTCATCGTGGGCGTGGTGGTGATCTGCCTCACCCTGGCCCGGAGGAACACTCCTCACCGCCTGCGAGGTCAGAAGGACGTGTACTGTATGTATGGTGGCATGGACACCGCTTTATTTCCTTATTTATTCACTAGCTCATCCGTTTTAATGTTTTTATCATCCATCTTCATTTGTATTTACAATTACTGGATCTCAAAACATAACAAATATTCGTCTCTTTTAGTCAAAAAGTATTTATCCATATCTGTTTTAGTCAGTGTATTTAATTTCTATCACCTTGTAACATTTCATATTAATTTATAATTTGCAGTTAATCTGTTTAAACGTGTATATTTACTGTGTAGTTGCAGAGCTTAATGAATTTTAACTTTAAATAGAAGCAAATTAGAGGCCATTTTTAATTAATGTAGCTAAATATAATCATTCTTTGGTCAGTTACTGCTTCCTAGATGTGTAAATTTATTTTAGTATCTGTAACATTTTGGCCAAAATTTGCTATTTAATAACGCTATATGTTAAGATAAGCTCTGTAGAAGCTAAAAAGTGTTAACTGTATTTTTTCACTTATACACTTACTTACTTTTACCCTCGTTAGACTCGTATTTGCGATATGTCCAGAATAATTGTTTAAATATGGGAGAGTTTTAAGATAGATTGGTTTGGTACCTTCTTTGTCATGTATTATTTGTGATAACATCACCTATGGGGCTTAAATGTTGCACTAGTGTTACTTTGCATAAACTGCGACTTGTAAATATTGGCAACAATATTTATGAAAATAAATTGGTGATGATAAAATGTACATCATTTCAATACCATCATCATCCCAATGGTGTTACAGATGACGCGGTATACAACGCATCGCAAGCTGCGCTGGGCGGGGGCGCGGGCACACTGGACAAGCGCGGCGGATTACGCGACGAGCTCGGCTACATCGCTCCGCCTAACAGGAAGCTACCTCCCGTACCCGGCTCCAACTACAATACTTGCGATCGTGTGAAACGTCAAGCCGTTATCAGTAAGTGCACATTTCTTTTATCTGTACTGTAAACATTAGTAGGGTAAACGTGTTTGTTTTGTCTAATATATTTTTAAGGCAAATATTATTTTGTATTAAATTCAGGAATATTGGTGTATTTATAATTCAAATGTGTCAGTTTTTAGTATAAGAAAAAATATTCCAATCCCTATAATGCACTATTTCAAGTGTTACAGTGATGTTATCAACCTTTCTTAAACAATTACACACGGTATTTATTTTACAAACAATAGTAAGTACAAAAACGTATGGTGTTAATTTACATGTAGTATATTTTTCAGTTTATTTTAGCTTCGGTGGCACGAGCTTTTTCAAATTTTATTATATAATTTGCGAACTCTCCTTTTTTTAGTACGGTGGATGTTATTTCAAATATTTTCGTTACATGTTTCTATCTAGATTGGTTATGGTTAGAATTGCAGCCAAAAATACGATCTACTTCAAAGATTATCAAATTAATTTAGTCATAAATTAACTGTATAGATTTTTTTCTATTTTTGGCTTTATAGAGTACTAACATACATCCTTATACCTTTTTACTTCTATTTTGCTTTAAACCCATTAGATGACATGGTATCAGGTAGATAGTTACTTGTCCTACCCACTTAGTTATTAAGTTAAAATTAGCGACTGCTTATACAATACTATCTCACGTGTGACGAATACAAAACTATAATTTAGAACTATTTGCTATAACATTTTTCTTTTCGTAAAATAATTTACTGATGTGGGAAATATAAATCCCCTACTGACGTGAGATAGTATAGTGGTTAGCGCATGTACGGCACGCGGTGTAACCGAGTAGTGCGGGCACAGTGGGCGCGCACTCCACGTGGGACCCGCGCAGACACCACTACGAGCGCGTGCGCAGACCGCGCCTGCGCCGCACCGGCTCCGGCGACACCATCTCTACAGGTACCACAAACACGCATACATGGATGATAATATACCGTAGGTTTTAAGTAAAAAAAACTGCTGGCTCTTACGTCATTAACACGACTACCAGTGGGCAATTAAATAAATTTGTTTTCCTTTTGTAAAACGGTAAAGCATCCTTTCTCTATCCTATATTTAATGTTTTATTGTAATGAGAATGTGGGTGAGGCGCCTTTATAATTTTTGATAGTCATCCGTGTATGTGTGCTGCAAATCCTCATTGGATACGCCAAGGTATTCTAGATTGATTACAAGCTGTAAAAGTGTTTATTACAAACTTTTGTTGCCATCGACTGCGTTGTCAACATAATAATAAAAATATATTTCCATGTTTACATAATTAAAGCCGTTATTACTAAACTTGCTTGTGATCATTCTAAATATCCAAAATTTGAACGAGTTTGAGGCAAAGCAGATACTAACAGAGTGGTGTGCTACTAACAAAAGTATGGTAAGTTATGTATAAAACAACTCTAAGTTGTATATAAAACAATACTATTGCATGTTACATATGTAACTATAGTAAATAACATTAGCACAAGTGGATAGTTTGTAATTTTGCATGTATAGCTTTTTCTTTCGTTATTTCATACAATTAATATATTTTATGTTAGTACAAGAACTTAGTAATTATTCAACAAACCTTAATAATTTGTAACTTTGCTTATAAATTCAAAATGTAAAAAATTTGGTTGGATTAATTTTATACCACACAAATACAGAGTGATAGTTCAGAATATCACAGGAACCACGCGGGTCTTATCCCACTTCTGAATTTCAAATTAAGTTTTTTTTTAAATAACCAGAAGAATTAGCAAAATAAAGAATTTACGTTACACAATATCTCAAAAAAATCCTGAATTCCGATATTTATGAGTTCAACGTTTTTTACATGTGTAAAGATTTTGTTTATGTTTTCATAAAAAATTTCATCACGTACGAAAAAGAACTTACTACTATGACATATTTGTGAATGGCATTTTAGGAATTGTGTGATTGTATTTATGGACTGTTTTATTAGGTAATTGTGTATTAACTACGACGATTAAAGTCAACTTTTGCTAACTTCACACTGGAGTAATATAACAAGTATTGCTAGTACCTGTTTTAATTCGAAGTGGAGCATGTGGGAATCGTTTGAAGTGTGGTGTGTACAATTTTACCGAAAATGCACAATTTTATCTATAATGTGTTAACTTGTATTCATTTCTAACAGTTATAAACAATGCATACCATGAATGTATTGTGAACACGGTTATTAACGAAATGTACCCAGCCGAAAGACATCTCTTGAGAGATATTATCTCTGAATACATAAGAGATGTAATTCTACATCGAATGGATTGATATATTTTACATCCACACTCAGAGTTTAAAGTAAACACTTAGTGTAGATACTAAATGTTCACTAAGACACATTAACGACTCTTGAGTGCGGAAATTATTAAATGATTCCTTAATTAACTAAATGATTTATATTTCCAGGCATGGAAGACGAAATCTGCCCCTACGCTACGTTCCACCTGCTAGGCTTCCGCGAGGAGATGGACCCCAGCAAGGCGCTGGCGTTCCCGCACCACCACCCCGGACACCCTGCTCACCCCGCGCACGCCGCGCACACCCCGCACGCCGGCACCCTGGCGCACCCCCACCCGCATCACCCCGCTCACTCGCGCGCTGGATCTCAAAGCATGGTCAGTGTCAACTTATTAAAATATCTGCTACACTTACTACCATAGTTTCATGTGTTTTTTATTTTTTATTCATAGCGGCTCTACGCCGCTCTCTTGATCCCCTAACGTGTTTATGGCTGTGGGTGGCAATTCCCAATTTCAACATTTACAATTTTTCTTTTTCTAGTTCACATTGCATAGTTTCATGTGTTAAGTGATGACAAAGAGAGCCGCTTGGTTTTTCTCATGTAAATTAGAGTAATGCTAGTTTAGACGGGAGTAGAACATGTGCTATTATTAAAAAAAAGTATAGATGGTGTACATATCCTAACGTTGAACTGGCAACACACCTCTCATGAGTAATATTAACCGCTAACTTGTTAAATCATTAAAACATTTTTAAGTTAAATGTTTTTTGTTGTAACATTAATATTTTCTGTAAATTCCAGCCCCGTGCCAACAGCCGCTACGCCCGCAAGAACT